TCCCAAAAATACTTCAGGGAGATCATCCCCTCCATCCCAAAAATCCTCCAAGGAGATCATGAAGATCATCCCCTCCTTCCAGTTATTCCAAGGAGATCATCTCCTTCTTCCCAAAGACTCCAAGGTCATGGAGACCATCGCCTCCATCCCAAAAATACTTCAGGGAGATCAAGGAGATCATCCCCTCCTTCCAATTATTCCAAGGAGATCATCTCCTCCTTCCCAAAAATACTTCATGGAGATCATCTCCTCCATCCCAAAAACACTGCAAAAAAATCATGGAGACCATCCCCTCCATCCCAAGAATCCTTCATGGAGATCATCTCCTCCATCTCCTCCATCCCAAAAACCCTCCAAGGAGATCATCAGCTCCATCCCAAAAATCCTCCATGGAGATCATGGACACCATTCCCTCCATCCCAAAAACCCTCCAAGGAGATCATGGACACCATCCCCTCCATCCCAAAAACCCTCCAAGGAGCCCCCCGAGGGCCCTGGACACCGAGGGGTTTTGTCCAAGTTGGGGAAACCCCCCCAAAACCTTCCCAAACCTCCCCAAATCCCCCCAAAAAGGAGCCCCCTGGACCTTGATCATTTCGGGATCTGCCTCCGTCTCCCCCGTCAGGAGGTTCTTGGTTTTCTGGAAGCGCCGGCGCTTGTACTTGTTGATCACTGGGAAGGGAACAGGAGCAGCTTTCCCGGGTTTCCGTGGCCCTTTTCCCTCCTTTCATCCCCCCCAGGAACCTCCCAAGTCCTTTCTCTTTCCCTTTCCCAGCCACTTTCCCCCTTTCCCAACCCTTTCCTGGACCCTTTCCCAACCCCTTTCCCATCCCCCTCCCTTCCTCTTTCCCTTTCTCTTTTCTCTTCCTTTTCCCATCCCTTTCCCTCTCCCTTCCCTTTTCCTTTCCCCTTTCCTTTCCCTCTCCCTTTCCCTCTTTCCCATCCCTTCCCTTTCCCCTTCCTTTCCCAACCCTTTCCCCTTCCCTTCCCCTTTCCCATCCCTTCCCCTTTCCCTTCCCCAACTCCTTTCTCAATCCCTTTTTCTTCCCTTTCCCACCCCTTCCCCTTTCCCAACCCTTTCCCCTTCCCTTTCCCATCCCTTCCCCTTTCCCTCTCTCTTCCCCTTCCCCTTTCTCATCCCTTTGCCTTTTCCATACCCTTTCCCTTTCCCTACCCCTTTCCCTTTCTCAATCCCTTCTCCTTCCCTCCCCCTTTCCCTCTCCCTTCCCCTTCCCTTTCCCGTTCCCTTCCCCTTCCCAACCCCTTCCCAACCCTCTCCCTTCCCCTTTCCCCCTTCCCCAACTCCTTTCTTTTTCCCCTTCCCTTTCCCAGCCCTTTCCTGGACCCTTTTCCCAACCCCTTTCCCAGCTGCTTTCCCAACTCTTCCCTCAATCCTTTTCCCACCCCATTCCCAACCCTTTCCCACCCCATTCCCACCCCATTCCCAACCCTTTCCCTCCCCATTCCCAACCCTTTCCCACCCTTTCCCGCCCCATTCCCAACCCTTTCCCGCCCCATTCCCAACCCTTTCCCACCCTTTCCCGCCCCATTCCCACCCTTTCCCGCCCCATTCCCAACCCTTTCCCGCCCGTACTGCGGGACGTGTGGACGGTGGCGAGTCTCCTGTAGAGGTTCTTGTGCCGGGGGTCGGGGTGGAACCCGCTCTTGGTGAAGTAAACGTGGACGTAGATGGAGCCGTTCTGTTGGACACTCTGGAATCACATCCCAAAGATCAGTAACGACCAGGATCCATCCCCCCCACAAATCCCACACGGAGCCACCGGCTGCTCCCGGCCCCAGGGAACCTCTGGAAACCCCAGGGAGCTCCTGAAATGTCCTGGAAGCCCCAGGATGTAGATGGAGCCGTTCTGTTGGACACTCTGGAATTGCATCCCAGGGATCAGTAACGACCGGGATCCACCCCCTCCCCAAATCCCACATGGAGCCACCGGCTGCTCCCAGCCCCAGGGAGCCTCTGGAAGCCCCAGGATGTAGATGGAGCCGTTCTGTTGGACACTC